AAGAGATGACCAGCTAAACCTTAGAGGGGCCTTGGGGTGAACCAGGCCCCCCATTTCCTCTTTCAGCACATCCATCGCATCCTCTTCTCTGGCTTCTTCTGCTCAGGAATGAGGAATGCAGCCCCCACACTCTCCACTGCTTTCACCTAAAGAAGTGGACTGACCTTCCTGGAAAGGACTCTAATTGGGCCAACTGGGGTTGTGTGCCAACCCCCAAGCCAATCGGCTTTGGCCAGGAGTTGGGCACTGTGATTGACAATCAGCTTTGGCAGCCCTCCCCCCTCCCCCCGCCCCCCTCTAGTTGGGCGTGGCAGAGTTATCAGAAGGGAGAGAGCATGGTCCTTGTATCAAATCAGCCTGAGTTTAAGTTTAAGTCCTCCTCCTCCAGGGATGAGCTGTGTGCTATTGGACAAGTTTCTCAATTTCCTCCCCTGCAACATGGCGATGATAATATCTAACTTCTAAGATGGTGGGAAAGGACTAAAGGCCACCCAGTACGCCACACCTAGCAACCGGGGGTGCTACCCGGTCTGAATATATGCACCTCCATCACAAAGTAGGGAGAGCTTTGTGAGAAGGGAAAGTTGGGTTTTAAAGACATCGAAATGTGATAAAAAGAACAAATCATTGTTTGGGTGGTTGCTTTATTTGGGAGTGGGAGAAAAGAACCAGAAAAATATATACCATGCACACAGATCTTAGGCACAGTATCTGGCAAACAGGAAGCATCCCATAAATACAGCCATAGCAGTAAGTATTGAGTAATAGTAACACACAGTAATAAGAAACTGGTAGGAGGCCTGTGGTGAGTGGAAATACCCAGAACAAGGTCATCTGCCAAAAGGTGCTGAAAGAGACCCCTTTGACATTACCACCACCCAGCAGCGGGAACCATGGGAAATGTAGGATACGGCCCAGCAGATAGAGGGCTGTCTTGCCGAAGGGGGGTGAGGTGGGGATAGAAGACCTGAGGGTCCGGAACAGGCATTCACAGGGGCCAAGAAACCAAATCTCAGGGCAGGAAGGGCCTCCAGAGAATACTCAACAGGGAAATATTAAAGCCAGCTCTGGCCTCCTCTGCCAAAGCCCACCTTCTAGCTGCCCCACAACTTTCATTTGAAGAAAGTTTCCTGTGGTTTGGGGTTCTTTAAAAACTACTGATCTAATCCTATGCACACACTGCAGTTGGGGAAAAACATGAGCCTGGAGTGAAGAGAGCCCCACACTGGAGTTGGCCAGAGGTGCAGTCTTACAATATACAATAACTGATACTGAGGTTCAGCTGCCTGCTGACAATTGAGACAGGTGCTGTCGAAAAAAGGAAAGAGGTGCCAAAACCGGTTTGGCTCAATGGATAGAGCATCAGTTTAGGGACTGAAGGGTCCCGGGTTTGATTCCGGTCAAGGGCATGTACCTTGGTTGCTGGCATATACCCAGTAGGGGGTGTGCAAGAGGCAGCTGATAGATGACTCTCTCTTATTGATGTTTCTAACTCTCTATCTCCCTTCCTCTCTGTACAAAATCAATAAAGTATATTAAAAAAAAAAGAAAGAAAGAAAGAAAGAAAGAAAGAAAGAAAGAAAGAAAGAAAAGAAAAGAAAAAGGAAAAAAGGTTTATTCAAGTGCCGGCCATCTGAGAAGATGGGGGAATCTTGTCGCCAAGCCCATCTCCCCATTTCAGTGCAGGTAGACATTTTCATTAGGAGGGAGAGGGAAAGAAGAACAGAGAGATCAAGCAAGGGAGGGGCTTGAAATGTTCTCTACATGCAGGCCAGCACAGTCCATCCCGATAAGGATCTCACAACTGGTCAGGTGATGATCCAGTCTTCGTCATCCTAGTTCTATATTCTCCTGGTTCTATTGTTGAAGGTCAGCAAATCTCATGGAACTGGAATGACTGAAGGTCAAAGTCTGTATCTCCTGAAGTTAGTTCCTAGGATTCTTATACAAACATGCTGTTTGTCTACAAGCTATACGTATTAGTCAGAGTCAGCCTTTATAGAAATGATGTCAAAAGAATAGTGGGTTGGGTTATAATTCTTCACTGTTACAATCCGAGCTGCAGATCCTGTCTCAGGCCAAGCCTGTCGCTGTCAGTGAGTACCTGCTAGTGGAAAAAGCACCCACTGTGGACCAGGGCCCCACAGGGAGGTGCTTGGGTGCTGTCTGGTGTTTTGGACTCTGGGGCAGGTAACAGGGAGGGGCCAGCTGGGCCAGTCAGTGACTGCTAGACTGTGCTGGCAGAGGGAAACTCCTCCCCAGAAGCTGGCAGCCAGGCCCCTCTCTGTGGCAGGAGATGGGAGCTCTCTGAAGCGTCAAGTCCTCACTGGCTTTGTATCCCTCACCAGGGAAGAAGCAGATTTCTGAGAGGAAGTGTCCTAAAGGACTCCAGAGACTCATCTCTCCACTCGGGGTGGGAAGAAGCTGTCAGAGCTGTCCAATGTTTATTAATCATTTAGTCCATACTAGGCATGGTGCCAAATGCTTATAAGTATGGACATATTCAATCATTTCACAATCCATGAAATAGGCCTAGTTTACAAAGGAGGAGACTGAGGCAGGGAGAGGTGAAGACACCCAGCTGGTGAGGGGTAAGGCCAGGATTTGAGCCCACAGGCTAATCAGAGTCTCTACTTTGAAGGAGGGAAAACCCAACTATTTTATTAAAACAAAAATAGCAGGAATAATAGAGAATCTCCATATGTCCTCGTGGATTCTCCAAATTGTTAATATTTTTTTATCACATTTTAGCATCTATCTGTCTTTATTCTAAACCACTTGAAAATAAATTGAAGACATGATACCCCCTTATTTAGAAATACTCTGGTGGGTAAAATGCAGGCCATTGTCTTACAGGACCACAGGACAAGGATCAAAGCCAGGAAATGAGCCACATACTATTATCTAATCTACAGACCTTATTCCTATTTTACAATTATCTTAAAAGTGTCCTCATAGCAAAAGGAAATCCTGGATCACACATTGTAGTTAGTTGTCTTATCTTCTTAACTCCTTTAATCCGGGACAGTTCCCCAGGCTTTCCTCGTCTTTCATGGTGTTGCCATTTTTTTTTAGCATACAGTCCAATCATTCTGTAGAACTTCTCTCAATTTAAATTGGGTGGATGTCTCTTCACAATTAGATTCATTGTCTGAGTTTTGGCAGGAATGCCAACGGAAGTGATGCTCTGTCCTTCTCAGGGCATCACTTAGGAGAAAGATGTGCCAATTCCTCCTTTACTGTTGGCATTAACTTTTTTTTTTAATTTTGTTTACTTAGTTAAAGTTGGTGCCTGCCAGGTTCCTCCACTACAGAGTTACTATCTGTCCGTGTGTAATTAATCATTGCCTGTGGGACAATAATTTGAAACTATGTAAATATGTGTCTCAGCAGAATTTTCCTACCCATTGATGATTCTCATTAGAATTCTCATTAGAATTTATTAATGGTCCAGCTCCATCATCCCTTCTACTGGAAGGAGTAGCTTTCCCTTATCTGTATTCATTCATTTATATTAGTATGGGCTCAGGGTTTGTCATCTCACTCAATAGGTTATAATCCATCATTACTGTAATTTCTTTTGACGCTCTACTTTTCCCAGATTTGGCCGTTTAAAACCCGCTTCAAGCCAGAAAGCTGCCACTTTCAAATATGACATTGCACCCATGTTCTTTGACCTTGACCAAAATGGGATCAAAACCAAACCCAGGTTGTGTGTCCTGATCAGGAATCAAGCCTGCAATCTTTCAGTGCTCAACCAACTGAGCCACTCCGGCTGGGCTTTGTAGAACCTTAATAAGTCTCTAAGCATTTCCTCGGGTGAGGATTAAAAAAGAAGAAAAAATAGTTCTACAAAAACTAAGTTTACAGGTGGAAGCTCCTTTAGCCAGGGAGTTGGGAAAATTCTCTGTGAGATAGTGATATCTGAGCTGACCTGCAAGATGGGAGAGTGGACAGCGAATGGGAGAGGAAACAGGACCTGTGCAGGAATGGGCTGGGTGTGTTTGGGAAACAGTAAGAAGGGCAGTGGCTGCGGAGTAGTGGGTGAGGCCAGAGGGCCCGGAGGTGAGGCTGGAGAGGGGGTGAGAGGCCAGAAGGCTTAGGGCCCTGCAGGCCAAAGGGAGGAGTCAGGTTTATATTCTAAACGCACAGGTAGGCTAGAGAGAGGGTGGGAGTGTACACAACAATCTGATCTTCGCTTGGAGAAAAACAGTCTGGTGTGTGAAGAAAACCTTTAGGAACACAGTGGGGAGGCGATCAGGAGGCTGCTGCCCTTGTCCCGGACGTGTGGTAGGACTGGGGTGGGGAGAAGCTGTCAGATGCAGAAGGGTGTAGGATGTAGAACCAGGCTGACTCAGGGTGAGAGGAGGAAGGGAGAAAGAGGAATGCACAGGGGTCCTAGGATGGGGCTTGAACAACTGAAATGGGGAGACCGGGGGTGTGGGTTGCCCGGGTAGGGCTGATGATCAGGAGGTGGACTTGGGCTGTGTAGGGTTTGCGGTCCCCACCTGGCGCCCACGTGGAGGCACGCAGTGGGCACTTGGATAGGAGTCTGGCATTCAGAGAAGCTGTTAGCTCTAGAAACACGGATTTGCAGCTCACGGACACACAGACGGCGGTTTAAGTCACGGGACTGGATGAGATCATCATGGCAGAAGGTGTAGGTCGAAAGGAGAAGAGGCTCGGGACTGTCGACTGTAAAATGAGCCAAATGACACCTTCACTCGCGAGGCGTCACGTGAACGCACGCAGCCCAACAGGAACTGAGAAGCCCGGGGCGGCCGCCGTGTGGGCGGGGCCCCAGGGGGCGTGGCGTGGCCCTAGGGGGCGGGGCGGGGCGGGGCCGGCGGCCCGGAGGCCGCTCAGGGGGGCGGAGGGGGCGGGGCCGGAGGGGCGGGGCGGGGCGGGGCGGGGCCGGCGGCCCGGAGGCCGCTCAGGGGGCCGAGCGGGGCGGCGGGGGTGACGTCACCGCGTGACTGGGTTTTTATGAATGAAAGGAATCCTGTGAGTGAGTAATTCCGGGAAGCGCTCCCTACAACTCCGCGCGGCCTCCCGCGCCGCCCGCCCCACAACAAAACTCGGCGCGTCGTCGCTCCGGGAGCTAGGAGCCGGGCTCGGAGCCGGAGAGGAGGCGGACCGGGGAGACGGACCGAGGAGCGGGCTCGGACGGCAGCGAGACCCGCGCGTACCGGGGGCGCCAGGAGGAGCGGCCCGAGGAGGGGTGAGGAGCGCGGGTCCGGGCGGGAGCGGGGGCGCGGGCTCCGAGGCAGCAGGGCTCCGGCACCCGAGAGCGCGCCTGGGCGGGGCGCCGGGGCCAGCGCTGTCGGCGCTGTGTCCCCCGCCGGTCAGTTGCCGGGGTGTGTGTGTGTGTGTGTGTGTGTGTGTGTGTGTGTGTAGCGATCCAGAGACCGATCGGGGCCGAAGCGAGCTTGGCCGGGCGCTGGGGGGCTGGGGGCCGGGGGCGCGGGCCGGGAGGCGGGGAGGCCCGGCAGGAAGGGCTGGGGGGGCGGCTGGCGTCAGCGTCCCCCAGGAGGGCGGGGGGGCCGTGTGCACGTACGTGACTCGGTGAGAACATTCCCTGGCCGGGCGCCCGCGGCCGGGCGTGCGCGTTTGTTTACGTCCGCGGGCGCGCGGCGGCGAGTGCGTGTGTCCCGCGGCGGCCGGCTGCCCCCGCGCGGGTGCCCAGCCGCGGGGCGCCCGCGCCGGGAGAGGGCGGTGCGGAGACCACCCGGCGGGCAGGACCCTGGGCCTGCGGACCGGCCGTGCGTACCTGGGAGGAGGGTGCTCGGCGAGGGAATGCGGAATAGGGACCCGAACTGGGGAAGGGCCCCACTGGTCACACGGCGTCCGGGGATTCTCGCCCCGCTGTCCCCGCTCCACCAGCCGGCGACCCCGCTCTCCCCGGAGTTTCCCAGGCCCGGGGCCACGTGACCTCGGTGTTTGCCCCCCTCCCCGAGCTGGCGGCTGCAGCCCCCGGGGGGGGGGGGCGCAGTATAAAGACCCCGCCGGCAGGACTGGGGGGGAGAGGAGGGGGCCACCCCTGGGGGGCTGGCACTGCTCGGTCCTTACCCCGGGTTTTCCTGCCACTTGGGGCAGGCAGACCCTCAGCCTCTCCTTCGGCCTGGGAGGGAGGAGGGGGAGTGGGAGGGCCAGGACACCCCGAGCAAAGTGGGGAGCTGGCACGGGACCCAGGCTTCTGTGTGCTGGGACTCCGGCTGGCCCGGGGTTCGGAGCTGGTGCTGCTGGGTCTGGCAGGGTGAGACCGGAGGAAGGGGTGGGGCTGGTTTCTGTCCTGCTGCTGGTTTCAGTTACATGCGGGACTAGTCAGACATACCTGTGGATGGCCGGACCTGAGGAGCTAGTTGAGGGCCTGGGCCAGCTGGTGTGCCCGGAGTCCTCCCCCGGGGGCACGCTCAGCAGGTGGGGCAGGTGGCCTTGGTGATGAAGGGCTGATGTGTGAGGGTGAGGGGCCCAAGCCAGCCCTGAGCCCCTTTGTCAGCCCTGGGAAGCTCCCCTTCGCCCAGTAAGTAGCCTGAAGGACAGGCTGGGGCTAGGGAGTCCTTGGACCTATTCTGCCCTCCGTTCTTCCCGCCCACGGGGCTACTGAAACCATGGGGGAGGGGGGTCAACTGAGCTTGGGGGGTGAGGCACCAGCTGATCTTTGAGTCTGTGAGCCCTGGTGAGCCCTGCGACCGCCGTGGGCAGCCTCAGTGTCCCCACCTGCAGCACCCAGGGCGGGATGCAGCCTCCACAGGGAGCCTGTTTCCCGGGAAAACGGGGGGAGAGAGAGCAGAGCCTGCGGCCCCGGCCAAGGCCTGGCACGTCCAGGAATGTGGGGTTCCGTGAGGCCCATCCGCAGAGCGGGGCGGGAAACATCCTGAGCAGGCTGGGGGGCCAGGGACGAGGAGAGGCGGCTGGCTGCTCTGTCCCCCGTGCAAAGGCTTACCCTTCCCTGGCTCCCCCCGGGTCTTCCCGAGGGCCGGGGACCCCGCAGGCCGCCCACGGCCCCGCGCCTCCCTCAGTCCCCGTGCTTTCGGCTCTGAGCCTGTCCTGGGCCAGAGGCTGGGGTGGGACTGTGACCGAACCAGATCCAGAGCCGCCCTCCGCGAGCTCAGGAGCTTACAGTTGACTAGAGGAGACGTGGTTAAAGGGAGAGCCGACAAAGTAAATACAAAGCCGCAGGGGAGCTGGCTGTGAGGGGGAAGTCTGTGGTTTGCAGTGTAAGTAGCTAATACGAAGGCATGCAGGCCTCGCTGTGCGCTTCGCAGATACCGTGTCTCTTACTGCAGGTCAAGCAAGCCACCAGCACCATCTTGTCTGAGCCATTTGTGTGTCTCACACGGGTGACGATTAGCATTTTTTTTTTTTAATCAACAAAGAATTTTCTATCATAATTGAGAGGTACATGTTTTCTCAGGTATAACGCTATTGCACACTTCACAGATGACAGGATAACGTAAGCGTAAGTTATATGCACTAGGAAACCAAAAGCGTCCTGCTTAATTGTAGTGCTTGCTTTATGGCTGTGGTCAGGAACCGGACCCACAACATCTCCACCGAGTGCCAGGAACAGGGCTCCGGCGTGCCCGGGGAGTCACGGAGGGCTCCCCTGAGGAGGTGGCCAGGGACCCAGGTGGTCAGATGGAGTGAGTGATGACTGTCTGTGGAGCCTTCAGAGCCTGGCAGAGTGGCTGCTTTTTGTGTTGGCCGATCGAAGGAAGGGGCACTGGGTCCAGGGGGTCCTCGGAGGTAGTGAGTGGGAAAACCACACGGTGGAGGCCTGACGGCCAGCTCTGGGCGAGGAGGGAGGCTGGCATGGCAGGGTTTTGACCTGAGCCAGCCAAACACAGGCTTGTAGGCTTTCTCCGTGACGATCCTCCTGACGGCCTTCGGGAGAGGGTGGTGGGGGGTCGGAGGTGGAGACCAGAAGCCCGTGAGGGGGCGGCTGTGGTCATGGAAAGACCAGAAGCCAGTGAGGGGGCGGCTATGGTCACAGTTCAGCTGAAAGAGGAAGTGGTCTCTGCGCAGAGGGATGGTCGAGTCTCCGGGTTTGTGTTCACGTGCCCCTGCCTCCAGGAAGCCTTCCCTGATTTCCTTTCTCTTCCTCTGGGACCTCCACTCTGGCAGTGGTGGTCCTGACGCTCCATCTCGGGCCCGGATCGGACACGCCAGACTCCGAGACTGCCAGGTGGAGGTCTGACATGCTGGGACGCGGAGGCCCCGCGAGAGGGCACGGCAGGGAGTGTGCGTGGGTGGCGCAGCGGGAACTGCGTGCCAGGGCTCCTGCTTCCCTGAGGGGCTGGGTCCTCCGGCTCCACTCCCCTCGCCAGCAGGGAGGCGGCTCCACCAGGGCCGCTGCCAAGGCCCCAGGAAAACACATTTTTTCCCTCTGGCCTCACAGAGGAAGCGGAGTGGCTCCGCAGCCAGAGAGGAGCCGGTGCCAGGGGGCAGGCCGTCTGCAGGATGTCCCAGCGTGGAGAGGGGAAAGGGGGGCAGGGGGTGTGGGAGGCCGTGGCTGCAGACTGGGCAGGGCAGCTGTCAATCCCCCAGGAGTAAATTCGTTCTCCGTGCCTCGAAGAATTGCAGGAACCTGCAGCGCCTGGCCCGGAGGATGCTCTCTGGCCTCTGGGGAAGAAGGGAGCGGGGGGGCACTGAAGAAGGAGCTCTGAGCTCGGGGGTCAGGACTCCTGGGTTCCAGCCCACCACTGCCACCAAATAGCTGCTCGGCTGTCTGTGACAGAACGAGGGGGTGCACCAGCCCCTGGCTGAGGCCCGTGTGGCTGAACGGCCAGCGGAGGGCCCGGCCCCGTGGCACAGAGCGCAGCGGCCCGGCCTGGGGCTGGCAGCCTGAGTTATCAGAAAGTTCCCCCTTCTTGTGACTCTGCGTGCCCGCTCTGCTGAGCTGGGGACATTCCTGGGCAAACGTGAGAGCCTCAGCTGACACCCACGATGTGGGTGAGGGGGCCGAGGCCAGAACAGGAGAAGGGAAGGCGAGGACAGGTTCGGAGCCTCCCGGGGCCCGCAGGGAGCACCCAGCCAGCCCGCGGGCGGGGCCTCCGGGCACACAGAACGGGACCAGCCGGCAGCTCCCCTCCCCGGGCCTCCGAGAGGCTGTGCTGAGGAGGGCTCTGAGGCTGTGTCCACGCTCAGTGGGAAGCAGGGCTGTGGGCGATGGCGGTGTCTGTGTGGGGAGTGGAGGGAGGGAGGGAGGATGGAGAGAGAAGCAGACCGTTTGCCACTTCTGCTCTTGTCTGAGCCACTTGTGTGTCTCACACGAACGCCGTTATAACCGTCCCCATTTCACACTGGCGGGCCCACGGCGCAGGGAGGGAGAGGGACTTGTCTGAGGGACCAGTCCCCAAGGCTCTGCATCAGCCCCGACACCCAGTGCTCAGCGCCCAGCGCCCAGCAGGCTCGGTGAACCCGTGCAGTGGGGGAGACTTGCCCTCTGCCCCGGGTCTCTCTGTAGAGCCCAGGCTGCCGCAGCACCGAACCCCCACTCCCTCACCGCGGGCACGGCGGCCTGGCTGTCTGCTGTCTCCGCCTGCACACGTCCAGGCCATCAGAGCAGTGGCCCGTGGGGCCTGGAGAGCCACCTCCTCTCCACAGAGTGGGGGACGGAGAGGCCATCGTGGGAGGAGGCACGTGGCTCGGCGTGGCCTCCATCCTGGGCGCCACCCTTTTTAGCTGTGTGGCCCCGGACTGCTCTCCTGACCTCTCTGGCCATCACCTCACAGGGCTGTTGGGAGGGTCGGGGTGATGAGGGTGTGAAAGGGACCAGGATTCAGTGTTCAGAATCCTCCTGATTTGGGGGGGAGCGGCCACTCACCTGCTGTGTGGCTTCAGGCAAAAGGTGTCTCCTCTGGGCCTCCCCCTCCCCTGGGCAAAGTGAGGGGGGCCTTTTCTGTGTGACCCAGCTAGCGGCCAGCGGGGAGACGCTGTGGAAGCGAGGGCCAGAGACTGCTGCAGGCCTGACCCCTCCTGGCCGGCCTCGGCCATTCCCATAACCCCCCACACACGCACTGACCTGCCCTCGGCTCCACCAAGACTGGGCGCAGGCGCTGTGCTTCCAGATGGTCGGGATGTGGAGACCAGAGAGGTGGGGCAGCTTGCAGAGGTCACACAGCCTGGAGAAGGAGATGGGACTCAACTCAGAGCTTGGCTTTCCATCCAGAGCCCCTTTCCTGTTCCCCATGCCAACCTGGGGCCAAGCGTGGTGAGGACAGGGCCCCTCCCGCTCCCGCCCCTCCTCCCAGCCACTGACCAGTGCTGCCATGCAGAAGCCAGCAGGCGGGGGAAAAGGAGGAAGAAGTGGGGACGGGCCAGGTTTTTCTCTCAGTGGCACTCAGCTGGGCTTGGGCTTGGCCCTGACAAGCCAGATGACGGACGGTGTCAGAGACTGCCCCCATCCACACCCGTGGGGGCCTGCCCCCCGCCAGGCCCCGCGCTGGCGACATCAGCACCCAGACTGCCTCGGCCTGGGTGCTGCCCGTGGAGCGCCTCTCTGGTGGGCAGACTGGGAAACAGACCATTACACTGAAGGGAGAAGTGCTGGGTGGTCAGTGCCCAACAAGCCCTAGCAGTCAGGGAGGGCTTCCTGGAGGAGGAGGCGTCTACACCAGCGGCTGCCAGATAGAGCGAGGGGAGCGGTGGCACAGGGCGAGGGCAGCACAGGGGCCAGAGGGAGTGGAAAGGTCCACGTGGCTGGAATGCAGAACGAAGGTGGGCTGCGGTGGAGAGGGAGCCCGGGAGCCGGGCGGGTGGGCCTGGCCCCGGTCCCGGGGCGGCAGGGAGCCGTGTGGGTCCGCATGTGGGCGGCGCCAGGTCAGAGTCACAAGGTGGGAGGACGTGCTGACTGTGTGTGTGGGACAGTGGGCACGCCGGGGCCTCCCCAGGTGTGTGTTGGGGAGGGTGGACTTTTCACAGGCCTGTGTTTTGGTGGGGCCTGTGGCAGGGTAGGGTCCTGACTGGGGGCTCTCTGGGCCTCAGTTTCCCCCCAGCTGTCCCACAAGGAGCTCGGGTTGCTCCTGGAGACCCTCCTTGCCCGAGGGCCCGGGCGGCTGCCTGTCGGGGGATCTCTCGCAGGGCTGACTTCCCTTTCCTGCCCCTCGCGCTTCCCTGGCGTCAGGTCCCCTGGCTGTGTGGGCCGCGAGGGGCTGGGGATTTCTGAGAACCCGGGGCTGTCCCCGCCTCGGCCTGAGTCACGCTGAGGACGCAGCTTCTGCTCTGGGCCAGGCACTGGGGACACAGAGTGGGCGAGACACGGTCTGTGCCGTCCTGAGCTGGCATCCCAGTGGGGAGGCAGACTCTGAACAAACAGGTGCGATCCATGCGCAATACTTACTCATAGAAGTGCTGTGGAGAGACAGAGGCGGGGGAGGGAGACAGGGAGTGTGTGTGTGCGTGTGCGTGTGTGTGCGCGCGTGTGTGTGCATGTGTGTGTGTATGTGTGTGCATGTGTGTGTATATGTGTGTGCATGTGTATGTGTGCGTGTGCGTGTGTGTGTGTGTGTGTCAGGGACTGGGAATTCTAGATCGAGTGAGAACACGAGGTTTGAAGAGTGACCTGCAGGAGTGAGGAGGCCCGCTCTGTGGCTCTTTAGGGGAAGAGGAGGGAGGCCGGGCGGATGGACCAGCCCATGCACGGGCCCCGGGCGGTGCGTGCGGGCGGGGTAAGGGGGCGGGCGCAGAGGGAGGCAAGCGGAGTGGAGCAGGAGCTAAGGGCGGAGGGTGCCTTGTGAGCCACTGCGATGCTTTTGGCTATAACTGGAGTGAGATGGGGACCGTGGGAGAGAGGCGTGACATGATCTGACTTAATGCACAGCCACTGGGAGCCACTGAGGCGCAGGGAGGCTAACTGAGGTGCCGGAGCCCCACGGCCAGTAAGTCGGTCGCCCTCCGAGAGGCCACGTGTGTCTCTGCCAAAGTCCGTGCGCTCGCTCCTCCTCCCAGCTGAGGCGCCTGGGCGCAGAACGGGTCAGACGGCCCCACACCGCTCAGGGAGCCAAGGTCTGGACCGGCCTTCACCCCTGCTTCACTCATCAGACGGGGGGTCACTAGTGAGACCTGGTCTCAGATCTCCCCCCCCTGCTCTCCTTTCTCCTCACCGTCCCCTTTGCCTGGGGATTATTGGCTGAGAAAACAGCGGAGACTGAATGGGGAGAAGGGCAGGGTGGCCGGGCACAGAGGACTCTCTTCAAAGGGAAGTTGGGGAGACCATCCCTTTCCCCGTCCAGAGCCACGGCATTGGTCCGCCGAGTGTGATATGTCATTGACCAGTACACGTGTTCTGTGCACTTTTCTGTATGTGGTTTGTACTTTAATGAAAATATATGTTTATTGATTTCAGAGAGGAAGGGAGCAGGAGAGAGAAACATCAATGATGAAAAAGAATCATTGATCGGCTGCCTCCTGCACGCCCCTCACTGGGGATGGAGCCCGCAACCCGGGCCTGTGCCCCGACCGGGAATCGAACCGTGACCTTCTGGTTCATAGGTGGACGCTCGACCACTGAGCCGCACCGGCCGGGCGATGAAAATGCTTTAATAAGACAAAAGGCGTGTGTCTGGGCTCCGTGTGGGAGGATTGCTGGGGAGAGGGAGCATTCGCTTGGTGCAGACTGACCGAGGACTGACCATGAGCCCCGCACTACCTTAGGCCTATGGAGGCAGCAGTGGGGCAGGCAAGGCCTGGACCCTGAAGACTCACATTTCGGTGGAGGAGAGGTGGGAGGGAGAGAGACAAACCATAAACAAGTCATCAAACAAAATAGTTGCACAACAGCCTGGCCGGCCGGGGCGTGGCTCATGGTTGAGCATCCGCCCAAGACCCAAGAGGCTGTTGGTCCCATTCCCAGTCAGGGCACTCCTGACCCCCAGTAGGGGGCGTGCCAAAGGCAGACAGTCGACGGTTCTCTCCCAGTAATGTCTGCCTGTCTGTCTGTCTCTCTCCTCCTCCTCTCTGAAATCAATAATAATAAAAAATAATAATAATTGCAAACAGGTGACTGTTATGAGGGTTGGTGAATGGGTTATTTGATATGACACAATGGGGTGTTTTAGCCAGATAGTTAGACCTGTTTGAAGAGGTGGCACCGAGCAAAGACAAGCCTGCTGAAGCGATGCCACGAGGCAGTAAAGGGACGGGAGTGGCACGTGCAAAGGCCCTGGGGCTGACGTGAGCCATTCAAAGAGGCCGCAGTGGCTGGGCGCTGGGAGGGAAGAAAGTGGTATGAGATGAGTCCAAGCCACAGGGGCCTTGCGTGGCAAGGAGTGAGTCAGGATTGTGAGTGAGAGGGAGAAAGTGACCTTGGCCTCCTCTCTCCCCTAGGTCTCAGCCCAGAGGGTGCCTTCTGCAAACATGTCTGTGGATCCCTTATCCAGCAAAGCCCTGAAGGTGAGGAGGCGGCCCCTGTGGTCCCAGCCCTCCCCTCCCTCCCTGCCCAGCTGAGCTGCCCAGCCCGCTTCCCCTTCAGGCCCTCGAATCCCCCAAGCAGTTCCACGGACAGGAGGCATCATGGGCGCTGGCTGGAGACCAGGAGGCCTGGGCTCGGCCAGCGAGGCTGTGTCCCCGGGGCAGGCCACTTCCCTCTCCGGACCGGCTTCCCCAGCGGACAATGCCCGCTGGGCTGCGGGGCGGGAGGTGTTTTCCCGGGCTTCTTACGGGTTCCTGCCTCTCTGTGGGGTCTTAGAACAAGTCCAGCATCTCCGTGCCTGCGGCGGTGGAGGGGGAGCCATCCCCAGCACCCGATGCATGCCGGGCCCAGGGTTTCGGCCCCTAGGCAAGGACGCAACCCTGGGCCTCAGTTTCCCCATACGTCCCTCTTCTCTTCCCCCCCCTTCCCCCGCGCGCTGCCCGCAGATCAAGCGCGAGCTGAGCGAGAACACGCCGCACCTGTCGGACGAGGCGCTGATGGGGCTGTCGGTGCGCGAGCTGAACCGGCACCTGCGGGGGCTGTCGGCCGAGGAGGTGGCGCGGCTCAAGCAGCGGCGGCGCACGCTCAAGAACCGCGGCTACGCCGCCAGCTGCCGCGTGAAGCGCGTGTGCCAGAAGGAGGAGCTGCAGAAGCAGAAGTCCGAGCTGGAGCGCGAGGTGGACAAGCTGGCGCGCGAGAACGCCGCCATGCGCCTGGAGCTGGACGCGCTGCGCGGCAAGTGCGAGGCGCTGCAGGGCTTCGCGCGCTCCGTGGCCGCCTCCCGCGGGCCCGCGGCGCTCGTGGCGCCCGCCAGCGTCATCACCATCGTCAAGTCGGCCCGGAGCCCGGCCCCCGGCCCCGCCCCGGGCCCCGGCCCCGCCCCGGGCCCCGCGGCCGCGCCCGCGCCCTGCTCCTAGTGCCCGCTGCGCCCCCTTCACCACCGCGCCCCGTCCCCCAACCACTCCCCTCCGGCCCTGCTCCTTCCCCAAGTGCCTCAGCGCCACCTGTCCCAGGTGCCATTTCTCTGCAGCCACCAGCCCTGCGGCCAACACAGGGCTCTCCCCGGAGCCTGCTTTCCTGTGCCGCCCTGAGACGGGCCTAAGCCCCGGGAAGGGGCAGCTTTGGTGAGAGAGGGGGCAGGTGAGTCAAGGTCTCCCTTGGCCGAAAGCTCCGCCTCCCTGGGCTGGGAAGAGGGATACAGAGCGGATTAGACTAGAGAAGCAGCGAATCAGACTGGAGAAGAGTCGTGGAGGACTGGAGGGCCTCCCCTCGTTGGGGAAACCGCTCAGATTGTGCCGTGGCCCCTGCCCGGCCGGTACAGCCTTAGGTTTGGCCCTGCATGCCTTGTGGGGCTGCCCGGCTGGGGAGCGGGTGCTCCCCGCTCTGCTTTGGGGCTGGGGAAGTCGCCTGCCCCGTTAGCAGGCAGATGGGAACCGGCCTCCCCCGATGGGCCACCTGTGCTTGTGGGTGAGCTGAAACCTGCAGCCAGGTCCTCCTCCTGCCGTCCGAGACCCCAGCATGGCCAGGGGGCAGTGGACAGGGACTGGGAGGGGAGGCAGGGCCGCCGTGGCCTGGGAGACTGTGAGACACGGGAAGAGAAGTAGAAGGAGAGAGAAGAGGATGTAGATGGAAGAGAGGGAAGGGGCTGGCTAGCCAATTAACAAAGGGAGGGAGGAGGCCGGTGGGGAGATGAGATGACAGATCCCGCCATCTTGCAGCCTGGGGTGAGGGGTCCTAAAAAGGGACAGTCCCACCTCTTCCCGTGACTGTCCCCCCCGGGGTGGAGGCTGGCCACGGCCACGGATTGTTCTGGAAGCCCGCGCCCTCCCTCCCCCCTCACACACTGTACACAGCCGCCCCCCCGCTGTTATTTATTGCACGAATCTAAGTTATTCTCTCCAGCCGGAGCCCTAGCGCCCTCTCCCTGGGAGAAGTGGCGTTTGGCCCTGAGCTGGACTTTATATTTTATATCTGCAAATAAATCACATTTTATCTTATATTTAGGGAAAGCCGGATGGCAACAACCAAAAAAAAAAAAAAGTTTTTAAAAAAATTGCCCCGGCCTCCAGAATTTATTTATTTTCTGACTTACAGTAAGCGAGTTATCCGCCTTCTGTATTTTGTAGACTTTCTGAATAAAGTCAAGTTCTCTTTTTCCACAGTGAAGCGTGTGTCCTGAGCTATGGTTTGTTTGTTGTTGTTGTTTTTTGGGGGAAGGGATGTTCTGAGGGGCCCAAGAAGGAGTTCTGCTTTCCGGACCCCTGCTGGGTGGGAGGGCTAGCTCCAGTTTGCAAGTAAAAGCGAAGCACCATCACTGCTCTTGCGCGCCCTGGGGGTGGGACCCAGATGGGTGATGCCAAAACATGTCCTTCCTTCTGGGCGCCCGAGCCAAGGGTCCTCCGTGGGGAAGGCAAAGCCAGGAGCACAGTGACATGTCGGGTTAAGTTTCCCGGGCATCCCTTTAGCAAAAAAACAGCCCCGCTCCGAGAGGAAAATTCCGATGGAAGCGTCATCTCTCCAGCACTTTCACGTCCAGGGCTGACTGTCTACAGCCAAGTAGAAAATACTTTCCTCGTGTTCCGGAAGGCCGGGGTGGGGGGCGGGGGGGGGGTGCTTCCTCAGCCCCCGCCTGCAGGCCCACCACGCAGCCGTGTCCGGTCCTGGGCCCGGGACGGGGTGCAGTGCGTCAGGCAAGTCGGGGCTTGAATCCAGATGTGCTTTCCTGGCTGTGTGACCTCTAGTGACTTATGTGGCTTCTTGCAGCCTCGGTTTACCCGTCTGTGCCAGGAAGGTGCTCTGAGGGCACAGGTGACGCGTGCCGGGGGCGGAGTGGATGTTGACAGGGGTGCATGTGCTTCGCCGTGAGGGTCTGAGTGGCTGCCACGGGTGTGAAGATGGCGGGGCTGGGAGAAGGCATGGACGTGGAAGCTGGGGAAAGGCCAAACCACAGAGGTTGGCTTGATCCACAGGCCACCCTCCTCTTCCTCCGCAGGTTGGGGCCCTGGACCCTGGATCCGCACCCGATGCTGAGATGCTGCGTTCAGGCCTCAGGAAAAGGCAGCCGGAAGCTGCAGGAGGGCCAAGCAGAGGCTGGGAATTTCCCTACCCCCACGGCATTCCTGAGGGCCCGAGTCAGCAGCCAGCACACGCACACACACACACACACGCACACGCACACACGCACACACACATACACGCACACACACATATACACACACGCACACACACGCACACACATACACGCACACACATACGCACACGCACATGCGCACACGCACACACGCGCGCACACACGCGCACACACACACACATACACACACACACACACACACACACACACACACACACACCAGGCCCGGGAGTGTGCGGAGGTGGCTGCAGGAAGGTGCCTTACCCAGCAGGCCCTGCTCCAGGCCTGGCGCCAGGGGGAGGCACCCAGGGCCCCACAGTGGAGGCTGGATTCAGGGGGGCACTGTTAGCCTCTGACAATGTGACGCCCCCCCATCACCTTCACGTTCACACCGGAAGGACAGGGTTTCCTGGCATCCCTGCTCCCCACCACGAAACCACCCAGCACGGGCGTGGGAAGAGGAAGGAAAAACTCACCCGCAGGCAGAGCAGATTTCAGTACAATCTATATTATCTCATATATATATTTCTTCCTCACTTTATTTGCTCACTTCTGTCACGCGTTCAAAATGTCACAGAGACCAAAATAGAGCGACTTTCTGGTGGAGCTCACGGCAGTCATACACGAGATATAAAACTAGGGGGCTCTGTCTTCTCATACATCATACAATTAAGTTTTCAAGTATTTCTTATGTACAAAGAGCTACTCTATTGGGGGGGGGGAAAAAGTTTAAAAAAAGACAAGGTGGGTTACGAATCCCAGGAAGTAGGTGGTGTGGTCAGGCCGTTCCCAGCCCCTCTGCTCCGGGCCTGGCTCCGGCCGGGAGCTGCAGAGCAGATGAGCAGGGAGCAGCCGCACACTTTGGCCTGGAAGGAGGATCAGAGGAGCACAGGGAAGGGCAATGGTGGGAGCGAGGGGGAGTGAGGGGGGCGCGCGCAGAGGGTGTCTCAGGCAGCCTGCACGGCCTGCCTTCCCAGGCAGCTTGGGGCTGGCTGGCCAGGCCCACCAGACAGGGACCTGAGAGCTGGCCTCCAGTATCCTTCCCCTCACGCAGGCCCGGCCCCGCCCTGCCAGGAGGGCTGCTTGGTCACAGTGCCAAGTGCTCAGGAAGATGACGGGGATGGACCCCCCCGAGCCCGGGCACAGCCCTCCCAGGAGGGGCCACGGGGAAAGGTTCCACCGTGAAGTCTGAAGCCGCGGGCAGGCCTTCTCCCGGCCCTTCCCGCCTTCCCCGCTGCCGCCGCCCAAACTCCGCTCTCGGGACGGACGTGCTGCCTGTCCAGACAAGCCGTGTCCATCAGCCTCTTCCTGGCGGCGGCCGAGGTGAGCCCAGGCTTCGGGGGGCTCTGGCCCCAGTGTGTGGGTGTGGGGGCGGGAAGGGGCGGGGCCTGGCGTCCTGGGCGCCGGCCCAGCACTGCAGGGGCCTGGGGCCAGCAGCTCAGCGGGAGCCCCAGGGAGGCCGGGACAGACCGAGGTGGGGAGTGGGGCGTTCGTTTGTGACTAAGGCACAGAAGAGACGGGCTGGGCCAGGTGAGCAGGGCGCCAGGCCGTGTGGGCTTGGGGCCGGGGCCCTCCTGCTGGCCCAGCCCTTTGTCCTCCCTCCCACAGAACCGTGTCCTCCGGAAGCTGGTCTGAAGTGTGGAGACTCAGACTGTCCCTGAAATGGGAGGAGAAGCCAGCAATGATGGGGACCACAGAGGCCTGACTGCTCAGCCGGGAAGGAAGGCGGGAGCCCTGACCCTCTGAGCAGCCAGGCAGTGAGGGCTCTGCCCAAATGCTCCCAACAGACCCAGGAGAGGGGCAGTGCGGCTGCCCTGTCCTCTGCAGGCCAGGAGGACGGGGCGTGCGAAAGAGGAGCAGCCAGAGGACACCCGGGGGACGCAGGGACCTCACCTGGAGGCCACACGCACAGAAGAGGGGCCCGGAGGCACCTGAGCGCCTTCCTAGCCGGACCTGTGGCTCCTGGTGTCTGGCTGAGCTTGCAGCCGGCCAGGCAGGCCGGGTCAGGAGGGCTCCACAGACGACTTCCTCCCCTCCCCCCCTCCTGCCCAGCAGAGCTAACGCAGCGCCAGGCGGAGGAAGCGGGGGCCGAGCTGAGGGCTGGGTGTTGTGGGAGGGGCTGAGTCTCTCGGGGAGGGCAATGAGCTGGGGGCAGAGCTCAGAAGCTGTGGCCACTGTCCATGACACAAGCATCAGGGCCTGGGGCCTGGCTGGTCCCACCACGCTGCCACGGCACGGGCGTCGCTCGGTGTCCCTGCTCCTCGCTGGGGCCGGCGGCCGTGGAAATGCTCCTGAAGGCTCGGGTGAGCCTGGCTGCTCTCTGGGCGGACAGCGAGGCTGTCCTCGGGAAGCGATGTGTGAGTGCTCTGGGCCAATAAATTAAAGGCGATGCCGGGAGGGGGGCCGGAGGGCGCACCTGCCTGGCCGAGGGGCCCCCCTCCCCAGCCTCGGCCACGCTTAGAACTCGTCGTCAGAGCTGAGCAGGAGCGTCTTCTCGGTGTCGCGGGCGCCGCCGAGGCTGGAGCGCGAGGGGCCGTGGGCGCCGCCGTGCCGGGCCGGCCCGGGCTCCAGCGTGGCCTGCTGCGTGTACTGCTGGTAGGCGGGCGAGAAGTTGTGGATGGCGTCCTGCACGATGTCGTGCGGGTTCATGGTCTCCTTGAGGCTGCTGGAGATGCTCTTCATGGGCGCGCAGCGGCCTGCGGGCGAGGAGGGTGAGGCTGGCGCGGAGGAGGTGCGGGGCTCGGCCCCAGGTTGTCATCCAACCACCTCCGATCCTGGAACCCACCCCAAGGCTCTCCACCCAACCACCCCTCCTGGGGCAGAGGGTGGGGCTCTGCACGTGCGAGGGTGCAGGCAGACATGGCCCCCGGCTGGGCAGAGCAGAGAGCACCCTGAGGGGGAGGTAAGCAGCCTGGGGCTGAGTCCGGCAGCAATGAGCCCAGGATGCCCCAGGAGGCACGCCAAGCCGCACGAGTGGAGGCGGGAGTGCTGGGGACGGGGCTCACTGCTGGCCCTGCCCCTCTCCGGAGGGAGTGGACCAGGGACCCGTTCCATCGGGGCAGCTGCAGGGCTGGACCCGGCCGTGAGGAGCAGACATCTTCTCCAGCTCACCCGAGAGGGCGGGAGCCACTGCCGATAAGCTCATCTTACTCCCTCTCTGATGAATCACCCCAGGCCAGGCCACACACTGAGAGGTAAGGGAGAGCTCAGCTCGCAGCCAGGTCTCCAGACTCACACACGCCTGCCCTTTCTGCCTGCACGCCTCCGCCATGGTTTCCCAGGAGTGGGTGCTGTGCCCCAGAACCACAAAGGGTATGTGCCAGACGACAGGCTGAACAGAGCGGGCTCGGCAGAGGGCGGCCCTTGGCAGAGTGCTCTGGGCACTGCCTCAGGTGCCCGTGGTGACAGAACCAGGCAGAGAGGTGTGCCGGTGACAGTGACCACGACTGACATGCAGGACAGACATGCAGACAGAGAGCAGAACCTACCGTAAGGACCATACGTTGGCACTGCCCATGGCCAAACCCGGGGCAAAAGCAGGGCGGGCAGGGAAGGGGGGAGAAGCAGGAGAAATAGAGAAGACAAGAGACAGCTGAGTGAACACCACGGCCCACCACCGAGGCCAGGGCACACCACGGCCCCTGCCGCCCACCCCTGGCCCTCTGGCACCGGCAGCCCCAGCTTCCCCTCGGGCCTGGCACACTGACCACCGGAAGAGGACCCTCCTGTGGCACTCCCACTCTGAGGGGGGACAAACAGTGGACACCAGAATGGTGGGCCGAGTTCAGGGCCCCCGCACCCCTTTTCCAGCTTCGGCTGGAAGTGCTAAGCCTGTGCCTTGTGCACACAGACCTCTCCCCACTTCACAGACAGGAAAGAGGCTGGGGCGAGGGTTCTGCACCCGCGCCAGCCTGGAGAGCTGAGGGGCCGGGCACTGTGGTTGGCGGGCACCGTGGCTGGCTGGCACACGGCCGGCCAGGACCACACGGAGGAGGGGCGATGGCAGCAGCAGCTTCCCCTGGCGGCAGGGTCCACGCACAGCTGCGCGGCTGCGGGTGGGTGTGTCAGGGAAGGCGGCCCAGGCCTCCACGCGGAAATGGTCCTTACACTGAGCCCCTCCCAGGCTCTGGGCACAAAGGGGCTTTCCCAGGGACAGGGTCTGTCAGGCCCAGGCCCAGGGGCATCGCCCTCAGCACTGGAAGCTGACCCTCCAATGGACCTTGGTGGGAAGCAGTGGCCACCAGTGGCAGTGCTGAGTGGGCAGCACAGTGGCTGGCACTGACAGGGTGCGGTCAGACGTGGAGAAAGCACCCCCAGCCCAGCCAGCGTATTGGGGAAACACGGCCGGGCCCACCAGTCACGAGGCCTGCAGTACCGTCAGCAGCTGCGCAGGCCCCTGAGGCCTCCCACCAGGGAAAGAGCATGGCAGGAAGGGGTGGGCGTCGAGGAGCCGGCCACAGGCCAGGCAGTCCTCTGTACTCTCCCAGGACGTGGCTGCCCGGCCGGGGTGGGCATCAGTGCTGCGCCTGGGGAGGTGGGCTTCCGCTTCCAGCCACGTGGGAGGGGCGTGGCAGCAGCCGAGCCTGGGCAGAGGTGTTAGACTGGAGGCCTCCCTCCCAGGCCCTCCCACCTCCTCCCATCACCCAAGCAGCCCAACTCCTCTTCCTGCTCCCCCTGGGCATCCTCCAGGCCCGCTGGCAGCAGAGGCACCCAGGCCGAGAGCTCTGCCAGGCCGAGCCACATCAATTACTCCGGAGCCTCTGAGGGTGGCCCAGCATGGAACTCTGTCTGGTTCTGCTCTGGCCCAGGAAGACCAGCAAGTGTAAAAGAAAGCTGTTCAGAGTTACTGCCACCCAAGTCTGCTTCTGAGAGGTAATCGGGTAAAAAAAAAACACCAGAACACTTAAGAGCAGAGGATTCTGGGACAAATGGAGAACTGGTCTCATGTCGGGAACCCTGAGGGACTGCTTTTCTAGAATCTCCGTCCTGACCATCCCACAGAGGTACTGCGCCTGTCAACTTCATCTCCGTACTCCAGACCGGCTGCCAAACACAGGGGGCCTCGCTCGCAGGGCCTCCCTCACGTGACCAGGACGCCTGACCCCCCTGGCCTGCAGGACGCGGGGCGGGGGGGCTGGCTCTCACCTTGCGCGTCCAGCCTCTTGTCGGCATAGACCTTGTAGGTGAAGGCGTGCCGCAGGGCCAGCGCCGCGAAGAACATCTCCACGCAGATGATGAAGTCCTGGTAGCCGGCAGCCACGGTGCCCTCGCCCACCGACACGCGGGCCGAGTGGATCTTGGGGATGGCCCCGCACTTCTCCAGGATGGCCAGCAGCAGGCCTGGGGGGTAAGGGGGGTGTCTGGCCAGGCCGACCACCTCCCTGCCCTCCTCCTCCGTGCAGCCCCCAATGCCCGGGCGGCAGAGGCAGGGGCCCTGGTCGCTCCTGTGAGGTAGTGTTGCCGACACAGGCTGAGGCCCCTTGGGAACTCCACACCCCCTGACCCTTTCCAGCCACTAACACTGAGATGTCACAGATTATGTGGGGTCCCCGTGTCCCCCATCCATGAAGCAGCCCCACTAAAGCTCTGCCCTGGCTCCTAGGGCCCCTGAGGGCCCAGTCTTCTGCCCGAGTGGGCACCCAGTGGACGGAGGCCCCTTTGAGCTCCAGCTGGGATCCCCAAGGACAACCCCGTGGCCTGGGCCCCAGGGGTACGGGGGTGGCAGGCAGGAGGAAGGGGTGCTGGGGGTGGCAGGCAGGAGGAAGGGGTATGGGGGTGGCAGGCAGGAGGAAGGGGTGCTGGGGGTGGCAGGCAGGAGGAAGGGGTATGGGGGTGGCAGGCAGGAGGAAGGGGTATGGGGGTGGCAGGCAGGAGGAAGGGGTCCTGGGGGTGGCAGGCAGGAGGAAGGGGTATGGGGGTGGCAGGCAGGAGGAAGGGGTACTGGGGGTGGCAGGCAGGAGGAAGGGGTACTGGGGGTGGCAGGCAGAAGGAAGGAATGAGGTTCAGGGGCAGAGCCGCCTTGGGCAGAGCTCACCTTGCCAGAAGGAGAGGAAGATCACGGACTTGACCATGAAGAACTTGAGGACGGGGCTGTAGGGGCTGAGCAGCTCCCGGGTGGCGAAGTAGAAGAGGAAGAGGGCGTAGAGGGCCAGGCTCACCGAGACGTTGTAGATGATGGTCACGTACAGGTAGCCGCTGGCGACGCTGCAGAAAAGGGAGTGTTCTGGCTTGGACAGACCCACCGAGGAACGAGGAGCCCCCCCTCCCTGGTCCTGCCCGACGCCAGTCCCCACGGCTCTGGCCGGGCTCCCCAAGCAGCGCTCCACGAGCCACGCGGTGATCCGAGGGGCCAGAACGTGAGGCCGGGCCCCTGCCTCACGCAGGGGTGTCTCCCCCCTGCCCGCAGCTCTGCTGGGGGACACGCCCCGGGCGTGGAAGCCAGTCTGGCCTGGGTGAGGGCTCAGCCTGACGGTCAGATGGCGGGTGTCAGCGTGATGGGAGCTCAGCCCTGCTCTTTTCAAGTTGAGCAAGTTACATCCCACTGAGCCTCCGTTTGCCCACCTGCCCTGCCGGGCTGCTGGGCACCGTCCAGGCGGTGCTGCCGAGCGCACGCCAGCACACGGCCACGCCGTCACTTTCCCTCACGCCCAGTCCGCCGTCCGAGGCTTTCTACGCGAGGACTCAAGGCGGGCCTCCCGGGCTCCAGCCCCGCTGCCGGCCTGGATGGTCACTGTCCCTTCTGCCCCAGGTGCCCCCCACCCCCTATGCCAAGGGGATGGACGCGGAGGGCTCCTGTGCCAGAGGCGGGCCTCGTGGGCACGGAGGCGGGAGGAAGGCTGGGAACATGCCTGGCCTCCATTCAGAGGAGGTCGCCTCCTTCCCTAGCCAGGCACTGCCTCTGGGCAGGGACATCGCTCCTGCGGGGCCCGCTGCTTACTCAAAGTCGCCGTCCTGGTACTTGCCAAAGGCCTGGAGGATCACGGTGCTGACGGCCATGAGCGGCTTCACCACGCAGAACTGCAGGGTAGCCTGTGGGGAAGACGCCAGGGTCAGGATGGGGACAGACCCCGGAACACCACCTCCTCTGGCCGGGAGGCCTGTGGACGCCAGGCCCGGGGAGCCCAGGTCCTCCCCGAGGGGACTGCTGTCTGGAGAAGGCAGCGTGAGGGAGACTCCGCTGGGTGAGAAGACGGAGGTGGAGGAGGGTGTGGAGGGATGTGGAATGGAGGGGCGGGGACAGGAGATGTCCCTGGAGAGGGGGCAGCAGGAATGGGAGACAAGGGACAGGCAGAGGGACAACTCGTACCGAGGCCAGAGGCAGCGTGGACAGGCATGGACTCGTGCTGGGCGGGCAGCAGCAGCAGCGAGGTGGCCAGGGAAGTGGGTGGGGTGGGGAGCAAAGCCGGGGCCCTGCTCCGGGGACTGGCCACATGGGAGCAGGGTTGTGCCACGGTTTCCTCTCATGCCCCTCGCCCACCCCCGGGGTCTGGCTCCCTGCCCCTTGCTCTGGGCCTGGGCCCAGGGTTTGTTTTGAACCGGTGCTGCTGGGGACGGAGATGACTTAACGGGAGCACAAAACAGGCAGCCACCCAAAGCCAAGGTCTGGTTTTGACATCTGAGTTTGAATGTGGCCTCGCCAACTACCAGCGACAGACGCTCGAGCAGGCGCCACTGAGCCTCTGGCGGGTGGACGTAAGCAGCCCCTCGTCACAGGGTGAGCCCTGCCCAGGCGAGGCCCCCGCAGACCGAGGGGCACCCACAGTGCCCGTATGTCACTAGACTCGCCTCCCTCTTGAAGACAAATAAATCTAAGCAACGGGGCCTTCTGTGGAGGCGGGAGCAGCTGAGAAGGCTAAGCTGGTGTGGCTCCAGATGGGCAGGACAACGGAGGGGAGAGCATGGCCTGCTGAACCCAAAGTTGTGGGAACCGGTGGTCAGAGCTGTGTGGTGCCACCAGGAGAGGAGTGTGTGACGGGGCTAGAGGGGTGATACTGTCACACACCCCACAGAACCTCCCCACCTAGAGGAGCGGGACTGCACCGACAGCCCACAGAGAGGCATGGAGTGAGCCAGCGAGGGAGGGAGGGAGCGTTAAGAGTCAGGCCATCGGCTGGTAGGCCCGGGTCAGCCACCTGATGCCCACGTCCCTGTGGAGCCTGACACAGAGAGGGAACTGAGGCACAGGGACCCTGAAGTGCAGTGAGGACAGCAGGAGGTGGTGCCCTGGGACAAAGCTGCCACCCCAGGACCGGGGAGGGAGGGGGAGAGGGGGAATTTTGTTCTCTCCCCTTTTCCTACCTCTCCCTGCCACCTCCAGGAACAACAGTGGATATTCGGGAACAGCCAGCCCACAGGCCTGGGGGTAATTTATAACAAGGCGGCTTGGAGCTAGTGATCTGGGACCAAAACTTTGTACACAATATAATCATCAAAGAGGGCATGAGTCACCGCCCAGGCGCCCAGCCCTGGGTAAACAATGGCCCTGCGAGCCCCACCCTGAGCCCGGACAGTTTAACTCTTTCCCTGCAGGTCCCTGGGGGAGAGTGTGAGTTGAACAACAGCCTCAGGAAGGAAGACCTGGAAGCTGACCTGGAGACCCAGGTCCAGGCAGGCGCTCTGGGGGGGGGGGGGGGGGGGGGGGGGGTGCCTGGCCCTACCCAGGAAAGCCAGCTCCAGCGGGCAGTGCCCCGCTGTGGGCTCACCTCTCCTCGGTTACTCTGGCGATGCCGGAGGGGCTGAAAGGCAGAGGAGACTGAGCTGAGGTCGTGCTGCTGGGCATGACACCTGACACTCCCTCCCGAACAAGAGACGGGGGCTCTGTGCCACGTGCCAACACCCTGCAAACACTCCGTACCCACCTCACCTGGCCTTTAAGCCATCCCTTGAGATAAGTAACATTACGCACATTTGACAGAAGGAACTAAGGCTGAGAGGTTAAGTAACGACCCAAGGTCACAGTCAGAAGCTGGAAATCAAGCGCAGATGGTCAGATGCACAGACCCATGCACTTCACCACCACACCACACTGCCACGGGGCGGGGGAGGGGGGGACCAGCAAGGAGAACGAAGCTGCTGGCAGCCAACCGGGAAATGGGGAAGGGGCTGGAGACTGCACACACCTGGTTCGTCATGTATCTTTTTTTTTTTTTCAATCCCCACTTGAGGATATTTTTTTAAAATATATGTTTTGATTGCTTTTAGAGAGAGAGGAAGGGAGAGGGTTAGAGAAATAGAAACACTGAGGGAGAAACATCGATTCAGCTGCCTCCTGTACGCCACCTACTGGGGATCAAGCCCACAACCCGGGCACGTGCCCTGGCCTCTTGGTTCCTGGGTGGATGTTCAGCCGCTGAGCCACAGCAGGGCTGGTCTTGTACCTTTAATGCAGAAGCCCTCCTGCCCTCTAGCCGCAGCTGATGAGAAGTTGTCAAACGGAGATCCCAGAATCCCCTTCACACCCTCTGACTCTCACACACACAGAGACGTGGTCAAAAAGAACAAGAGTCTGCCGAAACCGGTTTGGCTCAGAGGATAGAGCGTCGGCCTGCGGACTGAAGGATCCCAGGTTCGATTCCAGTCAAGGGCATGTACCTTGGTTGCGGGCACATCCCCAGTAGGGGGCGTGCAAGAGGCAGCGGGTCGATGTTTCTCTCTCATCGACGTTTCTAGCTCTCTATATCTCTCCCTTCCTCTCTGTAAGAAATCAATAAAATATATTAAAAAAAGAAAAGAAAAGAAGAACAAGAGTCGCCCTAGCTGGTTTGGCTTAGTGGATAGAGCTGATGCCTGTGGACTGAAGGGTCCCAGGTTTGACTCCAGTCAAGGGCACATGCCCAGGTTGCGGGCTTGATGGAGTGGGGTGTGCAGGAGGCAGCTGATCAGTGATTCTCTATCATCACTGATCTTTCAGTCTCTCTCTCTCCCTCCCTTCCTCTCTGAAATCAATAAAAACATATTTTAAATAAATAAATAAATAAATAAATGGAGCAAGAGTCTGAGACCACTTCGTGCCCAGGACGCCTCTCCCTCCCCTCTGAGCACACCCTGTAAGTGCAGGGGCACCCCCAACTGTGTGGGGACTGGGTGCTGGTACTTGGGGGGCTCACAGGAAATGGGGACTCCAAGGTGGAGCCAGGGCAGCCGGGCAGGAGCTGGGCACACACCTGCTTGCAGAACCGCAGGAATCCAATGGAGTACGTCTTTCCCCAGAGGCAGCAGGTGCCGTACATACAGCTGGACCTGGAAGAGACCACGGAGGGGTGGTGAGCAGAGAGCTAGGACTCGGGGCAGGGGGGCTGGGGGCTGCCCTCCCTCACATCCAGACAAGCCAGGGCACGGGGGTGGGGGGGGACAGCTTTGCGCCCAAGGCCAAGTACAGGGAGACTGCGGAGAGCATTGGAGAAGCATCAGGGAGCAGGCTGCTCCGGCCAGCCTCGGGGTGACAAACCACCTGTGAAGGCTGAATGTAAACAGTGCAGGAGGGAAACAGAAGCACGGAAAGATGGGGAGGCAGAGGAGAGAGCCGGGACCCTGCTGGGGAAGTCCAGGCCGCAGGCGCAGAGGGGCTGTGTGCGGCCGCCGCCAGCACAGCGGGGAGAAAGGCAGGCAGAGGCAGGCAGTGGGCTGCAGGGCTGTACTCACTCGATAGGCTTCCCCCTGATCTCTGACATGATGGCGCTTTCTCCGCCGAGGTACTCGTAGCACAGGCTCAGGAAGTTGTAGATGACCAGGGCTGTGAAGAGAGCACCCACAGCGAACCACCGGTCACAGGACGGTAAGCAGACGGTAAACAGACGGTAAACAGAGGGCAGGAATCTGAGCAGCAACCACAGTGAAGAACGGTCCTGGCAGTAACGGAGCACCCACGCGAATACTCCATCTCACCCGGACCAGGCAGAGACAGCTCATATTGTCTAGGGATGCGTACACACTGCTGCTCACTCTGTACAGCACGGGAGTGACTACCACCAAAGTCAGGGCTGTGTGGGGAGACGGGAGGAGGGCAGGTCAGGATGGGCACGGAGGGGACTTGGGGGAGATGGCAGTGTACCAGCTTTCTAATTCACCCTACGCTCTTCTCTATTGTGTATGGGCCACAGAGTTACAACAGTAACACACTCTCCAGGGGCATCTCAGGAGACCCCTGAGCAAGGAGACAGCGGCACCTCCGCTCGCTCACAGCCCGCAGTGCCCGTCTGCACTGAGCTCAGGAGAGTGCGGAGAGAGGCGCAATGGCGAGACGCTGGGTCAGCTCACTGAGGCAGAGACAAAACCTGCGGGAGGACCGCGCCGCGGAGAGGTATGTGGTAAATTCTATGCTATAAATAGAGCAATGCTCCTGGTCAGAGATGTCTGCTGGCTCAGCAGAGTGAAGGCTGCTGCCTGCAGGATGCCAAAGCAGCGGGCTGTGCCAGGAGCGAGGAAGGAGAGCGAGTGTGGAAGAGTCAGTGTGGCAGAGGGCACCACGAAGGACGGGGCAGGAGGGGCAGGGGCCGAGAGCAGGGAGCAAGGAGAGGCGTCCAGCCGAAACCGGTTTGGCTCAGCGGTAGAGCGTCGGTCTGCGGACTGAAAGGTCCCGGGTTCGATTCCGGTCAAGGGCATGTACATTGGTTGCGGGCACATCCCTGCTGGGGGGGTGTGCAAGAGGCAGCTGGTCAATGTTTCTCTCTCATCGACGTTTCTAACTATCTCTCTCCCTTCCTCTCTGTAAAAAAATCAATAAAATATATATTAAAAAAAAAAAGAGAGAGAGAGCTTTCCAGCAAAGCAAGGCCAGGGCAAGGGTCCAATGGGGCCAGAGAGGCCCCTTCTCCTCTGCCCCAGCGGCCCCTGCAGCCCGGAGGCCTCGGGGCTCCCGGCGCAGCCCCTGGCTTGGCACTCAAGGTCTCCCCACAGGTGCCGTGGTCCCTGCCCGCCCCTCACTCTTCCTTCCCGGCAGCACTGAGAGCCCCTGCCCTCAGCTGTTATTGCTTCTGCACTGGCTGTTCCCCTGCCTGGGGTGTCCCTCCCTCCGCACTCCCATCAGACGAGTCCTGGCCACTCTGGGCCAGTGCTGTCACCAGGGCCCCGCGGACGTGCAGACGCTGTGCAGACCTCAGCACGAAAGCCTGGCTCAGCAGCCGGAGGCGAACGGTGGCCTTCAGTTTGGAGAGGAAGGTATTTGGGTGTTTTCTGCCACTCACAGCTGCTCTAACCTACGAAGGGCTCATGTCTCAGCTGGATAGGACCCCAGGGAGCACCCTCTATAAATATGACCCCTGGCACCTATCACATGTGCTGGGAGGGTTTACCGCCTGGGTCTGCCACTGGGTTAGCCGTGAGCCTCAGTTTCCTTCCTTCCCAGGTGGCCGAGAGGTTGAAGTGAGTGTGCAAAGAGCTCGGAAGAGTGGGCAGCGCTCAGCAGCGCTGAGTGTTGGCTGCTACCTGCCTGTCTCCCTCGCGGGGGGCAGCCTCCCTAGATAGGTTGGGGACTGTGTGCTGTCTGCCTGGCTCAGGAGCAGCTCAGGGTGGCTGGTGACTGCAGGCATGCCCACTGATCACTCAATGACAGCAACTACTTTGGGGTCTGGGGAGGGGGCATCTAGCCAAACCTGACGTCAGCCTGCTAATAACCTTTGTCCAACCCACACAAGGCCCTGTGGAAGGGGTGTGTCCATCCCAGGCTGGGGCCAGCCATATTGCGCCCGATGGTATTTTCCAAAGACGGCCACACCCTCCGACACTGATAACACCGCTGAGAGACGGGGTCTCGTCATTCCGCTCGAAGATGGTGGCCCGGGTGACAGCAGAAGCGATGCTTCGTGACATCTGACTCTGGGGTCAGAAGCCTCTTTCCTCTGTTCTTTCCCGAGATGCCTGCCCTCGGGCCCAGTGACCGTGCGGGAAGCCCAGGCTGACCCCCATGTAGGAGGGACCAGCACCCACTGCCAGACACGAGTGAGTCAGGTTCCAGAAGAATCTGGCCAGCTGAGACCCGATACCACAGGCAGGGGCAACCCATGCCACGTGCGTCCCGATGCCTGGCCGGCACTGCCAGCAGAGATGACGTGGTTTTACACGGGGCTGTTTGGGATAGTTCTCTACACGCCACGTAAGTAGAACCTTTACATAAAACCACTTCCGGCATATGCCACGCTCTCTACGCCACACATTCGGGTCCCTCTGACTCTCAGAGAGAGCCCGCTGAGGGGCCGCCTTCTCCTTGGCGGCCGCCTCTGCCCTGTGGCCATGCTCACTTCCCACACGGTGAGCTCTCTGCACCCGCCCGATCCTTCCAGTACAGCGGCAGCGTGAAGTGGCAGGAACGCCGGGAACGCCCAGCCAGACCTCCTGGGTGTGGGCGAGGCTCTGCCACGGAGAGCTGTGTGGCCTCGGGCAGTGTCCCTGGACCTCCGTGCTGCCAGGACCCCTCCTCTTGGGGCTGCTGGGAGGCCGGAGGGGATGAGCACAGCCCCCGCCTTGGATGAGCCGAGCTCACCCTGAGCAGAGTCCACAGCATGTGGCCTGCTGTTTCTCCCAGACTGTCAAGTCCCTGCAGGTAGAAACGGAGCCCACCCCCACCAACTGCCCGAGGCCCGCGCTTACACACGGTAAACACGGAAGAGATGGATGATGGGCGTGGGCCAGGGATCCGGGAGGCTCAGAGCTGCAGGGCAGCCAGCCTCGCCCACACTCGGTTCTGTGCCAGGTTCGCCCTCTCACGGGATGCTGAGCAGCCTTCCCCAAGGTGATCGGACTTCAGGCCCGAAAGACAAAACCCTCCAGGGAACCCCCAGGGGCTGAGGTTCACCAGCCCCTCCACACGGAACCACTCCCACAGGCCTCCTGCCTTCCACGGAGAGGAGCTGGCGCCTGAGCCCACACCCTCCCCTGCACCACGTACGCCAGCGTGCAGCCGAGCTCTCTCCGCGGGTCAGTACCGTCCGACCTCACCCACCTCTGGGCTCAAGATCCTCCACCTTTTACCAGAGCTCTGGCCGGCGAGGCTGCGTCACACCAAGTTGGGGACGATTCCATTAAAGAATCATGAGTGAGTCGGTCATGCATTCTCAGAGAAGGGAGGCAAGACAATCTCTCCCAGATGGTCCAACCAGCCCACGCCGGACCATCTGCGCAAGCCAATCCCTTCCCAGAAAGTTACAGAGCCGCCCAGCTCCGGCAAGGGTGTGTAAACGGACACGTCAACCCACCCAGCAACAAACAGAGGTATGCTGGCCCTGGACGCAGGAAAGCACAGCGGGTTGGAGTGAGGTTCTCAGCCAGCGGCCTTGTCACCTGACTACCCTCTGGCCATGCTTTCATTTCTGGTCCCCCCTGGAGAGGCCTCAGAGAAACCAGAAAGGGAGGAAGGGAGGAAGGGAGGGAGGGAGGGAGGGAGGGAGGCATCAATTCGTTGCCTTCCACACAGGCCACAACCTGGGTATGTGCCCTGACCAGTATGAACCCCTGAACCCACCACCTTTTGGGGCAGGGACAACGCTCCAACCAGCTGAGCCATACCGCCCAGGGCACGCAGCCACTTAACAGACATCATAAAGGGGTCTGAGCAGCTGACAATTCACAGGTCCTTCCTTTCCAACCGGGACTCCTGGCTTTCTCTCTCACCGCAGCATCTCTAACCCTGAGCAGCCTGGACAGGAAGCCGCTGGCCAAGGCCCTGCTCTCCACCAGCCCCGCCGGCACGCCCGCGGAGGGACCACTGAGCGGCACCGCCCGAGGGCCCGGGCCGCACAGAGGCCCCCGACAGGAGCCCCGGGTCGGGAGTCCTCAGCGCCCCCCACCACAGGTAAGTGAAGCGCTCCGGCTGCTCCAGACACTCCTGGGCCCCCATGTTGTGGCCTGGGTGCCCCTGGCCACGGCCAGGTCACACCCATAGCGGCCCCGGGGCCTCGCTGTCTTGGCTACACAGAAACTCTGGTTATTTGGAAAGACGTGGGCATTCTTATTGCAGCTAGCTCATGAGGAGCCCGGAAAACTCTTTTTGAGCACTTGGACAGAAATCTCTGCTCATAAAGAGGCTCAGGACAGGCTTTGCTCTTTTCTCAGTGACTGACGATCACACGGACAATAACGAGCACGATGTGCTACAGCCATGGCGAGGCGGGCTCTGCCTGGGAAAGGCCCCGGGCTCCGCGATGCTGCCAAGCCGTCCCTCCTCTCCCCCCTCACCCCCGGGCCGCGTCTGCCCTTTGCCGACCCTGCTCCTGCCCCTGGATCGCTGTTCTCTCCCGGGACCCTCTGCTGGTCTCTTCTGCAAACCTTTCTTTGTTCCGCGCTCCTGAGCGTCCTGGCAGCGCGGCCCGCGGGCCTCCTGTGGCCGTGTTTGCGGCCCTGGGCTGGGCTCATCCTGGCTACTCTCTCTCAACCAAGAGTTTCATTTGGGGCCAGGCTCCAGGAAGCTGACCTTGTCCAAATTCTGAAACTGGGCGAACGAAGAGGCACTCTTTAATTGTTTCATCCAGGCCCGTAAAATCTCTTCCCCTGACAGGAGTTCACAATCTTCGCTGAGAAACGCCTCCTGTGTTCCTTCACCAAGCCGGCACGGGCGAGCCTGGCCTCGGCAAGCACCCAGGAATCCCGGGCCGGTTTCTTAGCCTCGGATCCCTTCCCACGGCTGTAAAACGGGGGTGACATGTACTCTTCCGGGCACCTGGGAGGTGAGAATGCGCTCAGGGTAATGAAAAAGAGGTGGTAAAGCGTGATGGCCACAAACGTTACTGGGACACAGCGCTGCGTAAAGCGAGGGGAAGCATCTCCTCGGCACCCTGCCTCCTCGCCCCGCGCTCAGCTCCCCAGCTCTCAGGCTGTCTCAGTGTTGTCTCTAGGAGCTCCTTCCCACCCCGCCCCCAATCACTAAATGCAGGAAGGGGGCTGGTTTCTCCGCTGCTCCTCAGCCTGGCGCTGCCGTGTGGACTGCGGTGTGAGTTACAGCCTCACCAGATGGCAGATACTCGATCAGAGGGACCCTGAGCTAGCCATTTACTTCTCTGAGACTCAGCCCTCTCCTTGGAAAATGGCAATATTACCACCCATCCACGCTGTTTATCTCCACTCTCCCTCCTCCTCTCCCCCCAGAATGCCACTAGGATGAGAATGAATTGGTGGAAAAGTACAAGCCTTCAAGGACAAGGAGATGGCACTGAGGCAGCCGACAAGCAATGCTAACCAAAGCTCTAAGATGCAGAATGGTCAGTGCGGCCCCTGACCGGAGGGGAGGGAGCTGGCCAATGAGAGCCTCGAACCCCAGGCCTGCGGGTGAAGGTGCAAATGGAAAACCTGGCTGCAAGTCTGCACGCGGCTTTACCCGCCAGGAGAGGGGACAGCGCCTCTCAGAGAACTGAGCTTAGCGAGGGCAGCAATGAGCACACCTGCGGCAAACAGATGAGGTCTGAGTGCAAAGGGCGAGGTGTCTGGGTCCCTTCCCACAACTGCACCCTTACCTCAGCTCGCCCAGCTTTTACCACCCAGAGAACATTATCATCTGGGGAAACAGGGCCAGAATAAAAATAAAAATCTTCATCTGGTGCCTGTCCCCACCACTGCATAAAAACAGCACAGGAAAGCCGTGTCCTGTCACCCAGCTGGGAGGCTGGCATTTGAGGAGAGCTTCCAACACAAAGGTCAAAGGCCAAGACAAACACACAGGGAAGTCCGGAGACAGATAATGCAGGGAACAGAAGAAAACTGCAATCAGCGTCCGGGGGAGGGAGATACTCTCCAACACCAGCACAAGGGACTGTAAAATGGAATGGAAAGAGCCTGACGCTTTACAACATGATAAAGAAAACAAAACCTTCCGTAGAAAGGCTCAAAGGTAAATATTTAAAGTAAAAGTTTAAAGCTCCTGGGAAATAGAATAAAAGAAACCGTAAAGACTTAAAGGTCAATCCAGAAGTGCAACATCCTACTCACAGGAATTCCAGAAAGGAGAATAAACTGGGGGGGCGGGGGGGGGGCTAGCATAGGAACATGCACGAACATCGCTCAGCACTCAGGACACGGGCTTCTCAGCACTCAGAGAGGGCCCAGGCACCCACACAATGGATATCCCGCCTCCTTTGAGATTTCAGAACTCTGGGGGTGAAGATCCTGAAAGCGAGGGGTAAAGCAGGTCACATACAGACATTAAGCATCAGGATCCAGCCCTGGCCTGGTGGTTCAGTTATTTAGTGTCACTCCACTATGCCGAGGTTGTGGGTTCCATCCCTGTTCAGAGCACATACAACAATTAACCAATGAGCGCATAAACCAATGAAACAACACATTGATGTTTCTCTCCTCTCTCTCAATTTAAAAAAAAAAAAAGAGAGAGAATCAGAATCCAGCAGACTTTCTGAAAACAATGCTGGAAGCAAAAAGACTGAAAAACACGCCTTCAAAATTCAGAGGGAGAATCATTTCCAACTTAGGATTGTACTCCCATTGATAACTAACCAAACAAAACAATATCATATGTACGTTAGACAATTTTCAGGTTTCAAAAAACTGAACTCCCACACCCCCTCTCCTCGGGAAGCTCCTGGGAGCCGCCCTCTCACCGGGAAACAAGGAAGTGTCACCTCGAGACCCCAGCAGGCGCAGCTGAGCCGTGGTTACAGACACGGGGCACCGCAAACACGAGCCGCGGCTCAGAAACGCCTGACCCGCCGCAGAGATGGAGGCAGGAGAGCGTGTGAGTGTGCAGGCGGAGGTGAGCGCTGACTCCCAGCTCCCGGAGGAAGACTTACCACACGGAACACTGAGACATCCACGGCAGCAGCCGCCGCACGTTCGTAGGTTATTTAGGGGGAAAGTTTAAAGAACTGAAAGTGGCCCTGGCCGGGTAGCTCCATTGATTAGATCAGCGTTTTTCAACCGCTGTTCCGCGGCACGTTGCCTGGTGTGCCGTAGGTGCAGACAAGACAAGAATTTTATAATTTTTCACTATTTTGTTTACTTAATATTTCATAATAAAGTAATTATAAAATACTTTCTTTGTGTTTATTTGATTCCTATTCAAGAGAATTACTTTATAGAATATATAGTCAATATAGGCACAGAGTTAAATTTTTTAACATTTTCTAATGGTGGTGTGCCTCGTGATTTTTTTTCATGAAACAAGTGTGCCTTTGCCCAAAAAAGGTTGAAAAACACTGGATTAGATGATCATCCCGATTTTAAAAAAACAATAAAAATAAAAAAGAGTTGCAAGTGCAGTGAATGTAGGAGTCAGAGGAGTTGGGGCAGCCTGTTTCATCCCTATGCACGTGTGACTTTAATGAAAGTAAAACGCTAGTTGTTTTAATTTTATTAAAAAGAAAAGCAAATGCCGCCTTATGGCCAGTGAAGGGGAGCTCCTCGGCCGTCCGGCCACTCCTGCCTTCCCGTCTCCGGAGACTGGGAGGAAGAGGAGCCGATGGGGCCGCTTTCTGAGCAGCGAGGGACGCGCCACCACCACGCCTGCTGGGCAGGTCCTGCGGAGCTCAGCCCTGCAGACACAGACACGAAGGGAGGGGCCCAGACGCGGAGCAGAGGTGCGGGAAAGGGCGAGGCGAGGGCACGCCCCCCTCGCGGACACCGAGCGTGCGGCCTCTGGTGGCCTGTACACTGCCTGGGAGGGGCGGGACAATCGCGCTGCTAGGAGATGCAGACTTCCTACGGCCCTTTCTGAGCTGGGAGGAAGGACTGGCCAGGCAGGGCCTGAACAAAGAGGCTTCTGAGTGGGAGGAGCCGCCAACCATCTGCTGCCGCCTCTGAGGCCGGAGTGAGGGCGATGCGAGGCTCCCTGGCTGTGCCCCTTCTGCCATGCACCCAGCCTGCAGGGCCTGTCCGCCCACCCCAGGAGCTCCCCTGGCAGGCACCGCTTCTTTATTCTGAACGAACAAGAACAGAGGCTGCACCACGCGGGGCTGGCAGGTGAATGGAAAGGATTCTCGGCCCCCAGCCTGTGTGGCTCCCCGGTACCAGAGGTCTCGCTGGGGGCTCTGCTGCTTCCAGGAACATCGGGACCGGAGCCCCCCCGCCTCGGCACCCTCCCCTGGCAGCGAGGCAGGGACACCAGCCAGGGATTTAACGAGGCTGCATGTGGATGAATGCAAGGCTCATAGCAGGTGCTTCACCAAGTCCCTTCCTCATTCAAACTTCCAGAACGGGCAGCACCTCCCATGTGCCCGGCTCTGCTGGCACTGCCCTCAGGAGGGGAGAACCAACCAGCACTCACTGTGAACCGCACTTCACTGCACACAGGGTCTGAGAGTGGAGCCGGGAAGCCTCTCTGAGGGGACACAGGGTCCAGATGGAGGAAGAGGAGGGGCCGGCGGAGCAGAGCTTGTGGCACTGGGCAGACGCCCGGTGTGCCCAGGCCGGAAAGGCGGCCAGTGTGGCCGAAGGGGCAGTGGGCGCAGTGTGCTGGGCACGGAATTTCCTCACCAGGTCCAAAGGCATCTCCTGGCCCTGTGAGTGCCCAGGGACACGCAGGTTCAAACTGGGACGGAAACAGACTCGTTTCTCGGGGGATGAGCATGAAGCCCAGGGCCAAGGACCAAGCTCTCCCCAGCCAGGGAGGCTGACAAGCGGTCACGGTCAGAGCTGCCTGGTCACAGCACAAGAAAAGATGCTTCTGGTCACTCTACCAGGAACAGCAGTGCAGGTGCAGGAGACGGGGAACACACGGCCGTGAGGGGGCGAGCATCAGAAGGGATCTTGAATCCAAGGACCCCTCCTCCCCCACCTGCTGGCCTGTGACCTGTCCTGGGCCTCTGGACACAGTCCATGTAGAGAGCTTGGGAGCCTGCCATTTCGCCTCATGCTTTTATGCATCAGCAGTCAGAAAGAAGCTCTGGCTTTCTCTGTGCGGCCTGCAAGGCTGTGTATGTCCCTGTCCCTGCCTCCCGGCGCAATCCCTCCTCCAGCCCCCGGCCCCTCACAGCCACCCACCCTGGCTGGGCACACGGGACTCCTCCCTCCCCTCAGTTTAGCTCTCCTCTCGGCCCAGAATGGACTCTGCTCCTCGGCCTCCCTCTGCCGGCACCAGCTCATTCTCCACGCCTCAGGCCAGAGGCCACCTGCCCTGCGGTGGCTGCAGGTGGCACAGGCTCTGGGAGGGCGGCGGCCCAGGGCCTGGCTGGGCCTGGAGCTCGGCAAGAGCTGGTGATGCTCCCACGTCACATGCGAGAGCGGAGGCCCCAGGAGGCAGCGGGTCGCCTTCTTGGGCGGCACAGCAGAGCGCCTCCAGGGCCAGAGCGCTCAGACTTAAGGCGCAGGGGAGAGAGGCCCAGCGCTGCCCGCACACCACAGACCCTGGAGAAACCCCAACCACCTGCACCCGGAGCTCCTAGCTACACGGGTCCTCAGCTGCTGCCTCTGCACCCACCTGACACAGAGCGGGGAGAGGGGACACTGGGGTCTGTGACGCTGCTCTGGGAGCCCCCCGCAAAGGCTTCTGAGGGGGAGACCGGCCACACCTGTGCTGTCACTGGCCCTCCAGGCTGACGGTGGGTAAAGGAGGGGCGGCCCCTCGAGGAGAAACCAGGAAGGGGCCCGCGGCTCCCAGACGCCAGGCGGGAGGGGTGCCCCCGGGAGGGCGGCCACACGTCTCACCCTCGTAGCAGTCGCGCACGGTGCCGAAGTACACGTAGTACTGGTCGTTGGTGAAGAAGAGGAGGCTGAGCCAGGAGTCGAAGGCGTAGATGGGCACGATGAACAGGATGCGCACGATGTAGCGCTGCTCGTTGGGGCAGCTGTAGCAGCGCAGGTGCATGTAGATCTGCAGGCAGAGGGCAGCATCAGCGGACCCGTCCGACCACCCCTCCGCCCCTTCGCCCCTCGTCACCCACCCCCTGCCCTCCGCCCTCCGCCCTCCGCCCCTCCGCCCTCCGCCCCTCCGCTCCAGGGGAAGAGGCGGCTGGCCTAGGGGTCTGGCTCAGCCATTTTCCAGATTTATGACCGAATTACTTCCCCCTGGCCCCCCCAAGCCTCAGCCGCCTCCTCTGCAAAACGGGTTGATGAAGCTCCCGGGTGAGGCTGCTGCGAGCATCAGACCCGGGGTGCAGAGAGCTTGTGGGGTGCAGCGGAGGCACCAAGGCCAGCCTCACAGACACAGGAGCATGCGTCCACGCCCGAGGCTGTCCAAACCCGAGCCGCGGAGCCGGCTGTAACCAGCACCCTGGGCCCTCGGCACCTTGTGTGGTGCAAGAGGCTTTCAGTGTGACCCCCACCTCCACCTTCTGAACACCTGGTCCCTGGAGCTTCTCACAGGCCAGGGGTGGGTGCCCACGGGGGCCCACCCTCTCCCTAACGTAAGACGGGCCGACGGGGCCTCACTCTGACAGGGGGGACGCACTCCCTGGCGAGCGGCTGCTCGTCCTGTCTGACTTCCCACGGAGCAGAGGCCGCGCTCCTGCCGCCCGGGCGGTTGGGAGAATGAACGCGGTTTTCAGAAAGCAGGGAAAGAAAAGCTACACACAGTGCCAGGACCTGCTCCGCCAGGATCCCGTCCAGTCCGTCTCCCAGCCCAGCCTCATGGCTTCACGCCTGGCCCAGCCGAGGGGCACCGGAGGAAAAGAACACAATACTCCCGTCCGCAGGGAGCCAGCTGCCTTGGAAGCCACTGGGCTCTGGAAAGGAGGGACGCAGGGCGGCGGCGAGGGGCTGAAAGGGCGCTGAGTGAGCTCAGCCTCCGTCTTTGCTGGGACCTTCCGCCCTCTCCTTGCTCAGGCAGCCGAGGCCCGTCTCAGCCACACCAGGCTCCTCTGGGCCTGTGAGCACGGGGGACGGGACACTTGGCTTCTCCCCCAGCTCTGCCAACGACTAAGGAAACAGGCTAGCCCTCCCCCTTCTCCCTCTCTGGGTCCCCATTTTCTCATCTGCCAAGGGTGCTCACGCACAGTCCTGGGCCCCTGCAGCTCAGGATGGACACGGACCAGTCCTGGCGCAGGGACAGTGAGCAGCAAGCGTCATTTCTGGATCCGGAAAGGTAAACTTCCCAGAGTGTCTGCCCACGTGACCTCCTCCCAGGGCCCAGGTGGGTGATGCTTGGAGCTGCCGGATGCTGGAGCCACAGGCGGAGCCGGAAGGCCTGGGCTGGGAGGTGAGCCATCCCCTCTCCAGAGGAGCTCGGAGAGCAGGGTCCGTCTGCCGCTGCACTCTGGCGCCTCACTAACACCTTTCGGACCAGAAACCGCTCAGGACCTCGGCTCGGGTCGGGCTCCTGGCCGGTACCTGGTGGCAGGTGAGGAGCAGCGCCGTCCACACGAAGAAGCCGGAGATGGCCTGCGCGGCGGTCGTCATCAGGAACACCGGCTGCTCCATGGCCGTGGGGCTGCCCTCGGGGATCCCGGAGACGCTGGGCGAGGCCGCTGCCGTCGTGGGCGACACCGGGCCTGGGGCCAGTGCGGCCCCCCTCACTGTCATGGTGCCGGCCACAGGGGCCCCCTGAGAGGAGCCTGGGAGGAGCGAGGCGCCAGCCTGGAGAGAGGAAATCAGTGTTAGCCTCCTCCCTCTCACAACTTCCAAGTCCAAGCGGCTATCCTCAGCCGAGCTGACCCTGACAGGAGCTCTCCCTGGGCCTTCCTGGGTGCAGCGGGCCCGCAGCCTGGCCTGTGGGCGTCTCCCCACGCTCCCAGCTTTGTCCCCATCCTCCCCAATGTCGCTGCATCCCCTCCCACCATCCACACCGTGTGCGCGCTTAGCGGTAAGCTTCACCCGAGAGCCCTTTACATGTCTATTTTCCTGTAAAAATAAATTATCTCTAACACACCGACAAGGAGATGTATCTAGATTAGAAACCCAAATGGAGAAGATATCTATATAAAGAAACTCAAAAATGGAATTGTCTATATAAAGATTGGTGACAAGCTTTGAAAAAGAGACACAGTGACAAGTCTAAGAATAAATAGTTCCTGTAAGAATGACTGCAAAATTGAAAACCAGTGCCAGAAATAGTCCTTTAAAAAGGAGACCTGGACCTGGCTGGTGTTGCTCAGTGGTTTGATTCCCAGTCAGGGCACATGTCCGGCCGGGTTGCTCGATCCCCAATAGGGGGCGTGCAGGAGGCAGCCGATCAGTGAGTTTCTCTCATCATTGATATTTCTCTCTCCCTTCCACTCTGAAATCAATAAAATTAAAAACAAAGAGGAGACTTGGGTTGTAAATCATCTTTGCCTAGCATCCCAAATTAGACGAACAAAGGAGAATCGAAGGGGGATGGGAGGAAGTGGTACAAAGACTCCAAACTCCTCACTTTCTGAGCAAGCGTGTGTCAGGGCTGTTTGCTCTAAGGCAGAGCTGAGAGGGCCCTGGGTCGTCTTCCCAGCCAGGCCCAAGTCTAAGCTCGGACCTGCCCACCGGAGGGGGCCCAGCAGCTCCAGGCCCAGCCTCTCCCCGGGGCCTTGTCACTCACACTCAGTGCCTCCCTCTTGGCACCAGGTGACACTGGACACTCAGTGTTCTCTCCTTCCCTCATGTAGGTCACCCGTTCACAAGAAGAAGTCCGTCCGCTCAGGGGCACCTGCCCCAAATCAGAGCCAGGGCTCAGACGCAGGTCCTATAAACACGCTGCCCCCCACAGGCTGGGGGAGCCAGGGGAGCTGCCTCCACTGCAGAGGCCCCTGCAGACAGGGCCCGTCCCAGCGCAGCTGGCTGTCCTCACAGGAAGGGGGGCTCAGGGAGGGTGGCCACGGGGCCGACCCACGCCGCCATGTTGTTGCGCCGTGCCCTGTGGCTTACAAATCATTTTCCCAAACATAATCTCTCGTTTCCTCTCACAGCAACTTTGGAGGAAGTAACATCTCCAACTGAGAAATGAGAAAAGTCACGTGGACTTGGGTTTGCAGTCTCCTGGGGTAGCACGGAATGATGTGAAGGTTTCCACAGTATCCCCCCAAAGTACTGGATGCAGTATTGTCTTTTTTATCAATTTCTTTTTTAAAGTATGTTTTTATTTATTTCAGAGAGAGAGGAAGGGGGGAGGAGGAGAGAGAGAGAGAAACATGGATGAGAGAGAATCACTGATCGGCTGCCTCCCTCAACTACATAATTGACAAGGGGGTTGTTCTGTGTTACATAAGTCCCCTTAATACAAGGACACAGAATAAAATAAAAAAGGACCATTTTACTATTCCTAGTACAAACAATGGATGGAGACCTGGTCCTCAGTGGATGATAAAACCACCAGGTGAAAGGCTGGCGGGAAATTGGTAAGGGATGCATCGGGCTGCAGAGGCGAACCCAGTCAAGATCAATGTCACTTCAATGGGGCACTGGAAGTGTTAGGCCTCCTCACTGCCTGCACGGAAGCGCACAGCGCCTCCTAAGAAGGACCCTTGCCCAAAAAGAGAACTGGGATTGAAACCAGCCTCTAGAACTAATCACCAGTACCAGGAAATATCGAGGGAAGTGGATCAGATTAAATTATGCCATGAGGCCCTAGCTGGTTTGGCTCTGTGGATAGAGCGTTGGCCTGAGGACTGAAGGGTCCTGGGTTCGATTCCCAGTTGTGAGCTAGATCCCCAGTAGGGGGCGTGCAATGATTCTCTCTCATCTTTGATGTTTTTCTATCTCTCTCTCCTTCTCCCTTCCTCTCTGAAATCAATAAAACTATATATTTTTTTAAATGATTCCATGAGCAAACAGCAGCCAAATCTAGACCACCGAACAGTCTACAGGATGAATGACCTGGTTTTTCCAACAAATTAATGTCTTACCAATAAATGTGGCTGGGGGATTGTTACAGAAAAAGAGACTCTAGAGACACTACAACCAAATGCAATGTGTGGAGCTATTGGGTCCTGAAGCTAAGACATCTTAAAACACTCAGCATACAGAACTCCTGTCAGTTTGGGCCAGTGTGATAATGGCATGGTGTAAAAATAAAAGGCCTTACCAATGAAAGAATAATAATTTTTTCAATAAATAGTACTGGAACAATTGGACATTAGAAACAAAAAAAAAATTAACCTTAACCTAAAACTTTACCTCTTATACAAAAATTAATTCACAATGAATCACGAACTTAAATGTAAAATGTAAGACTATAAAACTTGTAGAAGACACAGGAGAAAAATCTTTAAAACCTAGGGCCAAAGTGTTCCTAGACTTGACACCTAAGCATGACCCGTAAAATTGAAAAAAACTGGGCTTCACAAAAAGTGAAAATGTACACTGTGATTCAGGTAAGAGATTGAAAAGACAAGCCACATAGTGGAAGAAAACATTTGCAAGTCACATATCTGACAAACGATTAGCATCTGGAATATAGCAAGAATGGTCAAAGCTCAACAACAACAAAAAAGCATCAATCAAATTGGAAGACGGGCAAAAGACATGAATGGACATTTCACTTAAGAAGGATATATGGCCGCCCTACCCGGTTTGGCTCAGTGGATAGAGCGTCGGCCTGAGGACTGAAGGGTCCCAGGTTCGATTCCAGTCAAGGGTACATGTCTGGGTTGCGGGCTCGTTCCCCAGTGGGGGATGTGCAGGAGGGAGCCAATCGATGATTCTCTCTCATCATTGATGTTTTTCTCTCTCTCTCCCTCTTCCTTCCTCTCTGAAATCAATAAAAATATATTTTAAAAATAAAAAAAGGATACATGGCCAATCCTCCTATATAATAAAAGGGTAATATGCAAATCAACTGAACCTCAGACAACCAGTTGCTACGATGTGCACTGACCCCAGGGGACAGATGCTCAATTCAGGAGCTGCCCCCTGGTGGCCAGGCTCAGTCTGGCTAGTGCAGTGGCGGTGGTGGGAGCCTCTCCCGCCCCCATGGCAGCACTAAGGATGTCCGACTGATGGACATCCCTCAGAGGGCTTCCGGACTGTGAGAGGGCACAGGCCGGGCTGAGGGATTCCCCCCGCCCCAGTGCACGGATTTTGTGCACCGGGCCTCTGGTAAATACATAAATAGCAGCTGTTTCACATCCCTAGCCATTAGGGAAATGCAAACTAAAACCACAATGAGTTATCATTACACCTTATAAATAAAAAGCAAAGACAACACCAAATGCTGGCACAGATGTAGAAATGAGCTCATATCCATTGCTGGTGGGAATACAAAATGGTGGGGTACAGCCACTCTGGAAAAAGTCTCTTATAAAAGCAACACGCTAATCGCTCTCGGACACCTGCCCTCGGGAAATGGAGTCAGGCTCACACAGAAACCTGTGCACAGGAGTTCACAGCAGCTGTACTTACCATCGCCAAAGCCCGAAGGCAACCCCAATGCCCTTGGCAGGTGGAAGGTTGGACACTGGCAACAAGGGGAACTCCCACTAGCATAGGCAGCCACCCAGACTGACTTGGGACGTGGTGTTTACTGAAAAAACACCCTCCCGGCTGCCTCGTTCACACCGGGTAACATCTTCAGAACGGTAAACCTATACCGATGGAGAACAGGTGACTCGCAGGCGCAGAACAGCAAAGGGGCGCACAGACACAAAGGTACTGGGTCTCTGTGTCCTGATGGTGGTGCTGGCTCGTCTACAGGAGAGGGAATCATACAGGACCACACACATGCAAAAGCAGCGAAGGCCGAGTACCAGGTACCTGCATTGTCCTAATGTCCACTTCCTGGCTTTGATACTGTTCTACTGTAACTACGTCACCATGTGGGGGAAGAAGGGTCTGTGGGACTCGACATACTATTTTGGCAACTTCCTGTGAGCCTACAAGTACTATTTCAAAATAAAAAAGGTTTTGCCTGAACTGTGTTCACAACGGCCATCGCTCTCTAACACCTGCGCCGCCCCCGCTCGCGGATCTCCAGCTCTAGGAGAAGCAGGTAAGAGGTCTCTCTGTATCATGGCTCCTGCAGAGCAGACTGCCCACAAACGGACGGGAGGTAAAGCACGGAGGAGCAACTGCTACCAAAGCTGCTCTCGATGGTGCGCCCTCTGCTGGAGGGGTGAAGAAACCTCATCGTTAGAGGCCTGGTACTCTGGCCCCCGGTGAAATTAGACGTTCTCAGTCCACTGCTCTTCTGGTTCCCACGTCTGGTGCAAGGAATGGCTCAGGACTTCAAACCAGACCTGCTTCCGAAGAGCAGCCTGCGGCGCTTGGCAGGAGGCAGGCGGCCTGTCTGGCTGGCCTTTTAGAAGACACCAACCGGTGTGCTCTCCATGCCACACGTGTGACAAGGATGCCAAAAGACAACCAGCCAGCACGCCGCCGACGTGGAGAGCGTGCTTAAGAACCCACTGTGATTGGAAACATTTCATTCTTTTCAAATAAAACTTTTCTTCCTGCTGTTGGTAGTTCTGAGTGTTAAGTATCTTTTCTCATGGGGTCGAAAGGTGCTAAGGATATGACTGCAAGTGGGAAAGAGGGGACAGAAAGCAGGTATTGGCAGTTTTTCCATTTTTCATTTGTGTGTGAACTTTTTAAGTATAAACGCAAGTCAAATGTTTCAGTGAACGAGTTTCAGCAGTTGAACTTTATAACAATGTAAAATAAGACTTACAGTA